TCTAGCTTGCAGTTTTTTTTTTCGCGCTTGTGATTTCCGCATCGGGTAGTTAACCTACATAACGAAAACGAATTTTCATTGACTTGCCCGGTTTTCATTTTCATTTTCATTGGCTGTCTGACTGACTGACTGATTGACTGACTGACTGAGTTACATTGAAGTAGCTGCAGTTAGTCAAATGAGCTGCACTGAACCGGAAACTCACAATTAACCGGCAATCCCCTGCCGACCCAGCACCAGGGCCGTAATCGAAAATATTTTGGATATGGTAAGCGCCAAATTGGAGACATACTCGACGTGCGAGGCGTTCCGCCTCATCGCCAGCCGGACAGGCCTTAGCTTAGGCGTAAGACTTCTTCAATACCTTCTCCCACAAACAAAAAAAAATAAATAAATTTCAAAAAACAACAACAATTAATTTAATTGTCTATACGTGTTGTTCTATAAATGCTTGTTCATATCTTTCACTATGAAATTATGATCCAGCCGCGACGTGATACCCAGTTTAGGGTTTACGTTTTTCGGTTTTTGGGCTTGGGCTTGGTTCCCTTTTTTGGGGCGATTACAGTTACCACGTGTCGCTGTCAGCTGACGGGTTCGGGTTCGGGTTCGTCTTACCAAAATGTCATGTTGATAGCTTGTAAAATTAGTAAGTAAAACAGATAACTGTATTTTCACTTTTGGGTCGCGCCAACTGCGCCCAGTTCTTCGAACGGATTGGGTTCGCTCAAATATTATCTATGCATTATGTTATGTGAAAAAACGTGAGCAATGCGCCAATCATTTGGTCTAGAATTTGCCATTTAATCGGTATCGATATATCTATAAACTATTATTGAAGCAGATGAAATGCTTCTGGCAGTATTTTATATTAATATTAACTGATGAAAACTCTACTGTTTGACATTCATTTATTTGCGTCAATATAAGTATATTAAAACTTGTGATTTTTCTTTTTTTATAAATGTTTATTGTATTGAATCAAAAATATCATACATTTTTATTAAATCAAAGTTTGCTTAGGTGGTATTTTGCCAAGCCTGGTTGAGTTCTCAGGCTTTATGAGTTTTATTTTAAAAAATTTAGGTATATTTTATTATTATGCTCGTAGATACCACTATATATACTTTATGGGATGCAGACAATGCTGGCTTAGATATAACTTTTTAGATCTTTAAAAATGAGTCTTAAGCCGATCGGATAAAAGAAGATGGGGATTTTCCGAAACACCTTCTTGATACATAGTGACATTCTTTATACCGTAAATTTGTGTCATAGTTTTAAGATAAGTGATTAAGCAATCCAGCAAAATAATATACTAATCATGCATTTGATTTATACAATCTTGGCTGAAGCATCTGCAACGAGCCGACTCGTTGAATGCAAATGAAATTTGCAGGTGGTCGCTAATCAACGGGCTTTGTACAAACATCGTTAGCCAAACGCTAGAGCTGCACATGCTAACCAGGCCAAGAGTAAATACAAGAGTCAACAGTTCTGAAGGCAATCAGCAGGACAGGCCACCGAACACTGTGTGTGTCCACATGCTGGATTGGCCTCGCCCCTCTGCACCTGGCCTGGCCGGTTTATCTAGTAGGCGACGCGTAATGAACCTGACTTTACAGTTACATTCAATTGCCATTTAGCTGGGTCAAGGTCAAACGGTTTGTTTAGCCGAAGATCGAGTGCCGCATCTCGCTTTCCTTCAAGCGCTGCGTCTGCGTCTGCGTCTATGAGGGCAGAGACAAGGTGCTTAATGGCTGAACGAAACACTCGGCATGCCAGACACACGCAGCAACAACAACAACTGCGAGTAAGAACACTGCAGTCGGCTAGACCTGGCTGCAAAGTACTCTCTTTGCGGCGTAAGAACTGAACGAGGCACTCTTATACACAATTTAATTCTACTCTTCTTTTGGCATGTATAAATACACTTACACACTTATATTCGTATACTCTCTAGAACGCAAAGGCACTTAAACAGTTAACCGTTATTGTATATCTGCTACTCTTCTTTTGGCTTGTATAAGAGAGTGCTCTTGTTCTCTTATACTCGTCTACTCACTGGAGCGCAAATACACTAAAACAGTTAACCGTTATTTATAACTGACTCTCATATGGTGACAATAATATTCATAATTGCGATTTGTGCAGATAAATACAAAACGCTATACATAACTGTTAAAAACTTAAATGTTTCTACTCACCTTACCTCTGTTCATTCGCAAATGCATAAGTGTATGCATGTCTACATACACACATACTTATATATTTACATACATATATGCATATGTATATGCATGTGCATTTCATACATACTTATGCATGCATGTGTGCATGAATTTACTTGTTTTTTTTTTTTTCTTCGATCATTGCATTACAAGAAGATATTTCACCATTTAATTGCTCGCTTTGAAGCTACAGGAACTATTTTGCACTTTGTTATCACTTCAATCACAAAAATCATCACCAAAAAAGAATAGAAAAGAAAATAAAATAACCGGCAACTCTTAGCGCCATTTTTTGCAAATCGTTGCGGCTTTTTTGGCATCAAGCGCACCTTTATATTTCCACTCATATATACATGCAAATCGCTTCTTTCTACACGCTACAGCGACAGCAATTGGTTTGCACTTAAAATTTTCATTTATTAAACACTTTTTATACAACTATCACATTTTTCATTTAACACCGTTCATTTCACCAACTTTTATAAAAACAGCGCTGCCTGACAATCGAAATCGCTAAAATCGTAAGATAAATTGGCAACTCTTATCGATTTCGCATTAGAAAGTCTATGGCAATCTTATCGATTATCATGTCAAAAAGTATCGATATCTATGCGGATAACAAAACAAATTGAATTTTTGGCTTGTTGGATTAGTTGGACAACTAATAAACCCTTTTAAACGCTTCGAACAGGGTATAACAACAACAAGCAAAGGTGCCCACAGCCCAGTCAATTGGCTGGCTGCTGCATTTGGCGCTGGCATTTGACGAGCCGCGTTCCTTTTTGCTTTGATTTTATTCAAGCAAAACATACGTCCAACATGAAGCCGAGATTTTTCACAAGAAATTATCCATGTGCAGGCGAATAAGGCGAAGACAGGCGCTGGCGCAGGCGCAGCCGCAGAGGCAGAGGCAGGCGCTGGCTCATGTTTTGTCAACTGACGTTCGCGTGACAGCAGCGGCAGCGGCAACATCTGGACATTGCATTGACTTTGACCAGTTACCAATTTTGGCAACCAGACTTTCATTTATTGTTATTCGCCAGTTATTGCTGATTGTTCGCAACAAGGCAAAGGGTATCCCAATGCTGTCCTCGGCTGCTGCTCTCCTCGCCCCGAAATCGAGTCGAGCTCAGCTGAAGAGCTGCCTGCAATTAGTAGCCCATAATAACTATATATACTTTCAATTAAATATAAATAATTGTTCTGTTGCAAAAAACATGCAATAACTCACATGATTACTGAAACAGTTTAAGAAAATTAAAATAAACACGATTTTGGAGAAAAAAAACCCATAAAACTAAAAATTCCGTTTTCCAAATACAGGATCAAAAATTCTTAGGCTGCAGCTGTAAATTATGAATCTGATAAGATATATAGCAAGACTTCTGATGGTTAAATTGGAACACCTCAAAGTAGGCTACAAAAATGATAATTAAAGAAATTAACAATGTGGACCTTTGCCTTAGCCTAAAATATATTGATTACCATATGGCCTACGTTTTCCCTATGATTTGTTTGTCAGCATTTTAAGCATAATACAAATTATTTGTTTTCAATACATATATATATGTTTTCAATTTTTTAAGGCAATATGCATGATTTGGTCTTCCGATAACAATAAGAGCAGCCCTGATAATATTGCTACAGCCTCAACATATAGCATAAGCACATCTCTATGTTATCGATGTATCGATAAGGCAATAAACAGATTCTAGGGGCCGGCGATAACCGCCTGGTGCAATTTCGTGAATTTTTTTTTATAATTTCAACAATTGTTATGGACTTAACGCTAAACGATGGCAGCAAGCCTCAGTCGCCGCCCAATCAGCATCCATTGGTAAGCCCAGAATATGCCCTAACCTTGGCAACGACTGTGACAGTGGACGCTCTTTCCAGGCGGATTACCACTTCAGTCCGGAAGAGCTGAAGGCGTTACGTGAATGCAATCAGGAATCGTTTGTGCAGCGTTCGCTGCCCTTTGGCACTGGCCTTGGGCTGCTGGCCTATTTTGGCGTCAAGAATGGCTACTTGCAGGGCAATGGCAAGTACGGAGCCGTGCCCAAGGTTATAATGGGCGTCATCCTGGGCTATTTTGTGGGCAAATTCAGTTATCAGCAGAAGTGCGCTGAGAAAATAATGCGTTTGCCCAACTCACGGCTGGGCGAACTGCTGCGTCAGCGTCGACAAGGCGGCGGTGTCATTAGCACCATAACGCCGGATGAAAATCTGGGGCGTGCGTTTACCCTGGCGCCATTTACGCCCAGCTCGGCGGATGTGTACACCGATGAGGGCTATCAGCCGTCGCGGAATACGGCACTCAATCTGGACACGGACTCGCGACCGAATCTCTCCGGACTGGATGATATATACAGGCCCACGCTGGACTGTGCGTTTGGAAAGAAATGTATTTTGTTTATATTATATAATTGAATGTTGTTTCTGTTTTGAGCAGCAGCCAGCACATTGGTGGACACGGAACTGCCGCTGGAGCCAGCCAAGCCCGGCGAGAGCTACGAGGACTTGCGCAAAAAGAATCGCGAGGAGTACGCAAAGCATCAGCAAAGCGCCTACTCGAGACCCTACGAGGCGCCCATCCAGCCGCAGCAGCAGCGTCCCGTGGCGCCGTCTCAGGATCAGCTCGCCAGTCCGGGTAGAAAGAACAAATACGGCGATTCCTGGACAGATTAGGAAGAGTTCGTGCTTATAAATGCAATTGTTAGTTTATTCGCTTGCTTAAATACAAAGCGCATATATAAAAGTTAAAAAGATTATATAATATGCATATATGTTTAGAATTTAATTTTCATTTATAATATTCGTATAAGCGCACATTTGTGATGTTGCATCGTGATGTCGTGGATTGGATTGGATCCCAGTTCAAATCGTTCGTCTTTACAACTTGCCCACCTCGTGCAAGTAGGCGCCCAGAAGCTTGGTCTGCAAATGGAACACAATTTATAGTCGAATAGGAAAGAGTATATATATATCTATATATAAAACCTACGCCTTCAATATAGTTGTAGATGTCGATCTTCTCGTTTTGCGAGTGTGCCCCATCATCGCAGGCGCCGACAGGCACCAGGATCACATTCTTGCCGGTGGCCTCCTGCAGGGTCAGTGTAACTGGTATGGAGCCGCCCTCGCGTGTCATATCGGGCTCCACATTGAAGACATGCTTAATGGCACGCTTGGCGGCCTCATAATGCGGATGATTGGGATCCTCGGTCCAGGGTTTGCCAGCGGACAGCATCACCACCTGAGATAAAGAAAAGGAGAACATTAGCTATAACCTAGAGCAGACCCGATGCGTAATTTGTCGCTAGCTAAATATAGTCTTGGATCTTTGGAGTTCCATATTTGCATTCAAATCACCTTCAGCTTGTTGGGCGAGCCACGCTCGGCCCATTTGTCATTGATATACTTGACAACGCACTCCTCGATGTGCTTGGGATCCTGATCGGGCACCAGGCGTATGGAGAACTTGCCGATGACTTTCTTTGGTATGACAGTCTTTGCGCCGGGCTCATAGAAGGCGCCCTCAATGCCATGTATGGAGAGACTGGGATAGCGCCATCTGGCCTGGAGCAGGCGGGTCTTGTTGCCATTGTGCGGCAGGTGTTCGACGCCGACGTCTTTTCTATGAGAGCGAGGCAGATTAAGTAATATAGAGCCTGTAATTTATGATGCCAGCCGAGATTAGATTAGGTAACTAACTTGTACTCGGCCACTTCAAAGTCGATATTCTTGTAGATTTCCTCCTCGTTCGGCAATTGCGGAGCCACCTTAAAAAAAGAAAACAAGAACTTAGCAACAATTGGGCCTCGGGCATGGCTGTGAGCTCCACTCACATCACGATCCACGCCAGGTATCAATATCTTTGTATCCTTGTCCACCAGGGTGCTGAGCAGATAGCAAAGATCGGGCATGGCCTCGTGCACGGTGCCGCCAAAGACGCCGCTGTGCAGATCCTTTGAGGCGCACTCGACCTCCACCTGGAAATAGGCGAGACCACGCAGGCCGTAGGTCAGGCAGGGACGCTTCTTGCCCAGCCAATAGTTGTCCGAGATGCACACATAGTCGACATCGGCAAGGAAATCATTTTTGCGCGCCATCAACAGCTCGTCAAGGCCCTCGCTGCCGCTCTCCTCCATGCCCTCGAACACAAACTTCAGATTCAATGGCAGCGGGATGTTCAGCTTCTGATACGCTTCGATGGCATGAATCCAGCACAGGACGGGTCCCTTATCGTCCGTGGCGCCGCGTCCAAAGAGCTTGCCATCGATTTCGGTCAGCTCGAAGGGATTCGTATCCCAGCCGTCCTCCTTGAGGGCGGGCTGCACATCCAAGTGACCGTAGACAAGCACCGTCTTCTTGCTCTTATCCTTGCCCAGTGTGCCCAGCAGAGCCTTCGGCAGTGGAATCTCCTCGCCCGTTGGCAGCTTTTGTTTGCCCAAATCGACCAGCTCGATTTCGGTGCCCAGCGCCTTCAGCTTATCGGCCGTCCAGTTGACCATGCGGTCAATCTCACCGCGCTTCTCCGGCCACGCGGACACCGATTGGATGGCCACGGCGGTTCTCAGGGTCTCAATATAATCGGCCTTCTTGCTATTCACAAACCTGCAAGCGATAAACTAGATTAGACTTGGGTTTCTATAGATTTTCATGTCGTGTGCAATATGCTGATAATATATTCTCTGGTTAAGCCTGCGGTTAGAAAATGTTGATAATCGTCGTAAGCTGACAATCTTATCAGAAAAAGTCGTACTCATTATAGAAGGCACAGTTGGAAAACTGTGAGAAAAGCTTTCCTATATCATTATTTATATGTATAACACAATAATTATAATTACTTTCTGATTCTTAGATTTTTATTTTAATATACTAATATTAAGCTAGGACACAGGGAATTTATGGATCTTCTGGTAATCTTATCAATCTTATCAGAAAAAGTCTTATTCAATATAGAATTGGAATCTTAATTTTAAAAACCGCCTGAAAATCTTTTAATATATATCTTTATATATATGAAACTATAATTATGATTTTTTTTTCTGATTTTGAGATTTTGATCTAAGATCTAAGTAACTTATAGAGCTCCTTGTAAATCGATCAATTATTAAACATCGTCAAATTTTAAATTTCAATTTATACGATTAAATCTAGAAAATGAAATCATCCAAATCATCATTATGATTATTTTCTGATTCCCAGATTATGATTTTTCTCGGTTTTCTCGGTCGGACTAAGGGAATTTATAGATCTTCTGCTAAATCGAGAGTATGAAAACTTTTATCAAACATAGAATTAAATTCTAAATTCAAATTTATACGATCAAAATAAATTCATTCTTTAAAAAATTGCAATTTAAGAAAAAGAAATTAAAAAATTTACCATTCAGGTTCTTAAAATAAATTTCTTGGAAATGAATAATTTTCAAATATATTAGGAATATATTAAATACACTATATATTCGTTATTATTAAGCAGGATTATGAATTCTTCGCTAGAAACTCGGAGAATTTCCATAAAATGTTAAATTTTTGCAGACCATATTTTTATTTTATTCAAAAAATGAATGTAATTATAAAAATAATGATGATATATAATAACTTAATAGATAACAATATTAAGAGTGACAATAATAAGGATTTTAATAAAGATATGAATCATATTCCAAAGAACCACTCAATTCCTTCCATACCCAGTATATAATAAAGGGAATTTGGTCTTCGGCGTGCCGAACAAAGCTGTCAAATCAGATTTTATCTTGTTGGGACATTTCTGATTGGACAACGCAATCGCAGTCGCATATTCTAGTTAATGCAAAATCGTCCGCGGCACACGAATACGTGCATTTTTTTATGGCTATGCAGCGCGCAAATGTTTCGTGCAATTTATTTAGTTGCAATATTCAAATCAAAATTATGGACGTGCACTTTCATTTTTTGAATTTCTTCGACTTGACGTTTGGCAAAAATGAAAAAAAAAACTCTTATCGGCAACAGTTGCTACGGCCCTTATTATCAAGCATAAAGTACGAGAGTACGACAAAAACCATAAACAAACAGATAAGCAGGATATACATATACACAAGCATATGTGGATGCATGTCTGTATGTATGTATGTATATGCAACCGTGGCATCGTCATCCCACACACACACTCACACATACATATATAGATAGCGGCTTTCCTCATACTTACTCGAATAGCTGTTTCATTTCACTGGATAGCTCCGCCATTTTATCAAGTTTTCTTAGAGTGCAACAATATAAATTATTAACAATTCCTTTAGGCTTAATTGATCTGCACCGGAATTTCAAACGTCTTTCCGTTTCGGCTTCTAAAGTGCGAATGAATAGCGAACGTGTAGTGCGAAAGAAAGAAAACTTACGTACATACATTGTTTGTACGTATGTATGTATATGTACGTAGGCTATACGTTGAGAGAGAGAGAATGAGTAGCCTGCTGAGTGTCAACAAGTTTGGCGAGTAAACAAGTGCATGTCAACTTGCCGGCTTTTTTATTGCATTCCGTAAAAACTAATTTTGAGCTGCGCACAATTATTGTTATTATTTACACTTAAATTGGGCATTTTACTCTTGATAACATTATAAATATAACCATATTATTATAATTTATAATTAAAGGCAACCCTAGCATTATGTCGCTTTACGCGGTATCGATACCTGCGATACTCGTACCATACCTAAGCGATCACAGATCGCCCGACCACCACAACCTATCGTTTATCGGCCGTCATTTGCCGCAGTTAAGATAAAAACGCAAACGCTGCAACAGTCGAGGCATTCGCGAGTTAATTGCATTTAAAATTATGTCACAAAGCTGATAAACGCTTCAATAATCATACACAACAGCAACTGCTAGACGAAAGGAGCGCCAGAGGTGTGTGGGTGTTGCTTGTTTATTAATTAATGTGTCCATATGTGCGTGTACCGTTTTCTGTACATACGTGAGCTGCAGTGCTGTCATCCTTGTGTATGTGTGACGTTTGCATTTGTCAAGTACTGTGTGTTCAGCGTGCAAGCGTCTCTATCAGTAAAGTATTTGTGCTAAAATTTGCATAATTTCTGCGAGCCGATGGTATTTTTTTACTCAAAGGACTTGTCCTTTTTGTGTCAGGCATTTGGGCGACCTCGTTGTTTGCGTTTTGTAAACTCATTATAATAAATTTCAGCGACTAAAATAGAACATATTGCGTGCCGCTGCGGTTGTGGCTGTGGCTGTTGACTCCAAATACCAGCGTTCGCTGCTGGCGCTGCCGCTGCCGCTGTCGCTGCCGAGCGGCATAGTCATGTTTTCTGTGACTGTGACTTCTTGCCGTTTAACGTGTCGCTCGGTTTCGCTTTGCTCCCCTTTTGGTGTCTCCGCGCCCGGATTATAAATAGTTGGCGTTTTTGTTGCTGCTGCGCCGGAGTTGGGTGCCTGGGGCGCTGCTGCTGCTGTTGCTGCCAATTATTTGTTTGTGTAATTAGTTCCAAGCTGTGTCATGTTATGGGAATTAGACGTGGAAAAAGAACAAACTGTGTTCAAGATGAACAACAACAGCAACAGCGACAACAACAAAAACACGTTAAGCAACGGCGAAAAGTTAGCAAAGCGGAACTGGAAATGTAGACGTCAGTCGGTGCCGTTAGAGCTGCTCCCAGCTCTTAAGCTGCCGACTGAGCAGCAACAACAAATATGGCGCAGACAAGACCAAAGAAGAGCGACAATAGAAGAAGAAGAAAAAAACCAAGTAAAACAGTTATGCCGAAGGTGAAATACCCTTGCAGACATAGAAATAACCGAATAATTGATTCACTGTGCGACATATGATATTTTAATACATGTGGAACATGGCAAATACGCGGATCTATTACAAGTTTCAATATATATATATATATATATACAAACAAACACTTAATCTGCTTGGAGATGTCTCCTAGGCGTTACACATGTTTTGACAAAGTAATATTAGCTTTTGTTAGGGTATGATAAAACCAATCTCCAATAGCGCGCAGCTCAAAAGCTTTGCGTTGTGGCTGCTGCGCAGCGCTTGCTGTTGTCATTTATTCGCCGTCTGCTTTGGCAGACATTTTTGCAGCGCCACCCACCCGCGCGCGCGCGCCCGCGCATTACTGCACAGTTATTTATTTGTCGCCTTGGCGCTGTCCAAAACGGGCGAACGATCTGCACTCGCATTTTCGCCCCTTCGCCGCAGTTTCCGCTTTGCATAAAAGGCAAAAATATTATAAAAAGCCATCGCCCATTTGGTTTGTTTGCTCAGTTGTTTTGTTGTTGTTTCTTCTTTTTTTTTTCTTTTGCCTTTTCACGATTACAAATCACTGCATTTCTCTTTTGCACGCCATTCCAAGCACACAAACAAATCTAGCTCAGTGGGCGTTCATTTAAAGCGCATTAACCGAGCTTAGAGCCTGTTAGTCGAACTGGCTAGTGTATTGGTTTAGTTATTGTTGTTTTATGTCGAATTTGAACTCGTTTTGATTAACAGAAAACATAGACAAATTAATAGAAAAGTGCACAATAAATAGAAAAAACCAAAAAAAAACAAAAGAAAAAACACAAAAATACTTTCAAATAATTCGTCTCTAGCAGCCGAAAGCTCTTCCCATGGATCGCAGCTTGGATTCCATTGGCAGCTGTTCATTAGATGTTGATGCCGATTCATCCGACATATCAGGTATATCATTCACACACACACACACACACACATGCACGCGCACCTAACCTCAATGTTATTGTGAGCTATCTCTTATTGGATTTTGTTCGTTTTCGTTACTTTTTCGATTTCTTTTTTGTTTATTGTTATATTTATTTTCTTGTGTTTATTGTTTTTGTTAATTTGCATTTAACACACATTTTGCATGCTGAACTCTTGCAGACACAAGCGGCAGCTTAAACTTTCCAACGCCCCTCTCCGTGAAGGACATAACGCGCGAATTTACGGCCAACATTAAGGAACGGTGCACTCTGCGCTCCCCGCTGCAGCCGCAGCCACAGCGTACGCTAACCACAAACTCCACCTACGTCAATCTGGATCAGCGCACGGGCGGTGTGCGCATGGTGCTGTCACCGCCGGACCTAGTCGATGACTCGCAGCAGCCCCACAACAACAGCAGCGGCAGCGGCGGCAGCAGCGGCGACAACGGCAGCCTTGTCCTCGTGGATGCGGGAGAGAAGAAGCCCAGCTATTTGAATTTGGCGTGCTGCGTCAACGGTTACTCGAATCTGACCACCTACGACTCAAAGATCCGGCAGGACATCAACAAGTCGCGCGAGGTATCGCCCATACGACCCTCCACCAGCAGTCTGCAGTATTGCAAGCGGAACAATTCGCTGGCGGCGCCGGTGCTACACACAATGCCGCTCACCCAGCAGCCCGTCAAGGTCAACCAGAAGGCCAACAAGTACACAATGATCATCAACGAGACGAACAACAACAACAATAATAACAACAACACCAGCAAAAACGGTCATCTGGAGAACGGAGATGGACACGGATATTGCAATGGCAGCGCTGCGAGCAAATCTCTGGGTGCTGGGTCAACAACGACAACCGGCAGCTTTATACAGCAGCGCGTGGAGCGTCTGTACGGGCCGGGCGCACTTGCGCAGGGCTTCTACAGTCCCAAAAAGCACAGCTCGTCGCCTGTTGCACGACAGCAGAAGCTGCAGCAGCAGCAACAACAGCAGCAGCTGCAACAATCTCAGCAAGAGTCGCCACAAATCACGGAGCTGTCGCGTAAGTTTAAGCAACTCTCGCCCAGCAAGGATTACGGCGAGTTTCGCAGGAAGCTGCAAACGAATTGCACACAAGCGGCCACGGCGCGTTCGCAATCGGAACAGCCGGCGGCCACACACAACGGCGATGTGGACTTGCCTGTCTTTAGGCATTTGAGCCATGAATTTCGTGCACAGCTGCCCACGGTGTCGCCCAAGCGCAATGTGCAGCGCATTTCGCCGGCGCCTGAGCTGGTTGTGCCGCCGCCGCCCAGCAGCAACGGGCTGCAGCTGGCTGCGGATGTGGTGGATCATGAGTCCATACGCACCGAGGAGGAATACTTGGGCACCACCAAAATCTTGGCGCCCGTCGAACTGGCTGCTGCCAAGGCCGTGCCTGAAGCCAAGGAGACGGCGATTGTCAAGGATGGCAACTATTTCCTGAAAATACTGAAAGACGAACAGGTTCGTCTGCTCGCGCTGGCCGCCGTAGCTGAGAAGTATATCGATGCCTTGTCTGTGAGTAGATTCGACGTAGGACTCCTTTAAATGGTATTTGATTTGCCACATTTGACACTCTTGCAGAACAATCCTGATATCACGGAGGACACATTTGGACTGCTGCGTGCTGCCTCGGGCAAGGCGCGTCTGCTTGCCACACAGAAAATGAAACAGTTCGAGGGTCTGTACCCAACTCCAATTAGCTATATATTTATATATATAAATATCCGTTCCTTTGCAGGTCTCTGTCACAACAATTTGAATCGGTCGCCGGAGGATGCGTTTCCCACCACCCTCGATGATTTGCAGGGCTTCTGGGATATGGTTTATTTGCAGGTGACGCATGTCGATACCATATTCGAGGATATTGAGCAATTAAAGCGCAGCGATTGGCAGGTGAGTCATTTATTTATCACATCTGAAGCTTTTACAAGCCAGGTTTATATTTGTTTTGCAGCGCGCTATTGAGCCCAAGTCAGAGCTGGCGCCCATTAAGACAACAACAAAACCAACTGCAAAGACTGGCAATCTGAAAGCGAAAACAACTGGAGGCGGTGCGTCGAATGCGGTGGCAGCCATGAAGCGGGAGGCGCAGCGTAAACAATTGCTGGAAATGAAGCGTCAGCGTCGCGAGGCTTTGGCCGCCGCTGCCAAAAATCAAACGGCCTGTGATGATATTGTGTCAGATACAGTGAACATTGCCGTGAAGAACAGCAGCTGAATTGTGCTGAATAGCATTTGCAATAAGCGCATACAACAACAACAACAACAACATGCTCTCTAGTTATATACATATATATTAAATTAGCTCTCACACACACACACACACACACACGTAACACACTCATGCACACACAACAAAATACTTAGAAATTCCTAGTTGAATTAATCCTTAACTAGTCCCAACTAAAAAAGATATTTATGTGCGCGCGGTGTGAAGCTTTTAATACCTATTGCATAATTAAATTGGAATTGTGTCACAAGTTGTCACAACAACAATAACAAACATTATCAGCTTGCGCCCCATCAATACTACTATATACAAAATAAACTAAACAAATCTAACAAAAACAAACAAATCTACACAACACACATGAATATTATAAAGAGTTATCAACGTTAACGGCTCGTCGTAATTGTTTATAAAGTTTGCCTTATCTACGTGTTTTTTGCTCGTTA